ATACATCTGAGTTGCAAAATCTAAGGCTCATTTGTGTGAAATGTTTCTATTTGCTGGGCATTATACTAAGTGCAGCAGGAAAAAGAGAACAAAAATCACACAGCCCTCTCCACCACTCCCCACCCACCCCACACAGCTCATATTCCTGTGGGAAACATGGACCACTAAACAGCCCACTGTAGTACGGTTGGCAAGAACCTTGTTACAGATGGAGGTGTGAAGTAAACAGAAGAGACACCTATATAGGGAGGGTGTAGTAGAGGTTGAAGAAGGCTTCCTGGAGGAGGTGATCGCTGAGCAAAGTTTATAGGATGATTACATCTGGCTAGGAAAGTTGGGGGCTTCCTGTGAGGTGCCTGGAATGCCTTGACCAGAGGCATATTGACAAGAAACAACATGATGAGTGCAATAGATTACGGGTTGTCCCGGGTTTCTCAGCATGGAATAGGAGCTATCTTCTAGCTTTACAAGTCGTATACTTCACTAACTGAAACAGAATGAACAGATCTAAAGCCAACCCTTTTTCTAACCACCCAAGATCTAAAATCCATATTCTACAGATGAAATTCACCGGTTGTCACCAACTGCAGAGAAATAATGTATTTGTGTGTTAGTATGACATCTGTAATAGTTTTTCTCATGTTTGGCCAAGAACTTGCAAGCTTGGCTGGATTCAGCATATCTGTTTGCTGTATATTCTGAGCTCCTCTTATGTTTTTCTTACCCTCACTTTTCTGAAGCCATGCTAAGGACAGTGCTTTTGTGATTTCTGTTTAAGTTTCTCAGTGCTCATCCAATCTTTAAAAAAGCCAGCTTTCATTTATTATGTATTTAAGTCTAAGATCTCTTCAAATACAAATGAGGCTGTGTCAGTATCTAATTGGATTACAGACTTATCCTTAGAAAGTATAATGTAGCTTTTGGAAAATAGGCAATGTAGGTACATTTAGCTGTATAATTAATTAAACAACAACATAATTAAAACTTCATAATGAATTGATTCTCTACAAGAATCTGCAGTGTAGTAAAATAATGAATCTATAAGACCTGAAGCCAATAAAGTTGGATTCATTTTATTATGCTACTTCTATCATGTACTGGAAGCAAGAAAGTGTGTGAATATAATCACAGATTAGCTTCCTCTGGAGAAACATATGCAAGATGACCCAGTGAAATAAATGAGCTTTTTTATTATCCCTGGACCCTGAATCTGTATTTCCAAAATTTCTTGACCAGTCAACCTACTGATATCTCTAACATACCTTTGTTTTCAGAAACAGCGAGGAGAAAGCCATCCTGATGATGTCTCTTTGGTTTATCTTTTCTGCTCCGAGGTTGCTTGAGCAGCAGTCTTTTTATCTGTGTTGGCTTTGTTGAACATTTCCTTGGCATCCTTACTTTGGATAATTCAGAACTGCAGCAGTTTGGCTTTCACCATTACTGAATCCATGGAAAAGCAGGTGGCATGCTACCTTGTTAAATGTCCCTGTTACAGTCTGGGAGAAACAATATAGAAATTTGAGTTGTGCAGCCATTTCTAAGGAAAGAAAAATCTGCCATTTACTTTGTGTTCTATCTCAGGGGGTGGACCTCGAGGGGAATGTGTCAATCAAGATCTGGACTAGTTTAGAACTTGACGCACATTGCCATCACAATACAATGATATGGTCCAAAACATCCCAACTTCTTTTCTTTTGGTACAATCAGATACATGATATTTTTAGCAATTGTATGGCAATAGCAGTGAAAAAATAAAGATGAGAATATACACAGGGCTCTCTTTAAAAAGAACGTATAGTAGGTAGGTATTACATAGTTACTGTTATTGGGATAAGTTACTATTGTATGGCCAGCAAGCCATCTCCTGCATAAAGAAATACGTGCCACCAGTGGAGAGCCAGAGATGAAAGTCATTTACACTGGCATTTGCTTATTTACACAGCTGGAGTATATGTGAGCAGAGTTTTTATGATATAAAGAAGAATCATTTTTTTAAAAAGTTGACAAAATATATTTTGTGGCCCATTGTTCAATATTCAATACATGAGTACCATGTTTTTATTATATGTGAGGATAACAAAATCTCCCTACCATCAGACCAGCAAGAATTTTGAGTTGAGAACATTTTATTTGCTCTTTGTGTAATGAGTTTGCATGGCATTTAAAGGTCAGACCTAATTTCTTCATTTTAAAAATAACACTCCATTATATTGTATTTTATGATACATAGGAGATATTCTTGCTTCAGACATGATAGGTGTTTAATAAGCAACACTGCTGGATCAAACTAGGTTGCAAAGTAGATTCCATTATATCTGCACTGAGGTGAAATGATAAAGACACACAATTTAGTGCTAATGTTTGGAGACCTATGCGTCTCAAAAGATCAGAACCCATAACATAAAAGTTAAATCAGCAACATTACTGGAAATTTTTTGCATGATTAAACTGCCTGGTTTTTAAATTGTCCCATATATTTTCTTTATAAACAGCAGCATTTCTAGAGAGTCCTTGGATGATGTATACCTCATAGTTATAGGAGAGTTCTAGAGTTCATTAATCAAACCACCCTTGATTTCTGCTTAATCTATTTCAACCAAGGTTTAAATTCAAAGTACATTGAAGAGTATTAGGATGGAAACAATAAGGCCAGGAGTGGTGGCTCATACCTGTAATCTCAGCACTTTGAGAGGCCAAAGTGGGCAGATAGCTTGAACCCAGGAGTTCAAGACCAGCCTGGGTAGCAATGGTGAAACTTTGTCTTTAACAAAAAATAAAAATAAAAATTACCAAAACTGGCATGCTTCTGTGGTTCCAGCTACTTGGGAGGATGAGGCAGGAAGTCGGCTGAGATCACACTATTGCACTCTAGCCTGGGTGAGACCCTGTAACCAAAAAAAAAAAAAGAAAGAAAAGAAAACAATAAAATATAAAGTAGAAGGATTTGTTTTGATATCAACAGAGAAAATGAGGACTTTTATATTTTGTGACATAAAAAATACAACTTTTCTAAAAATCATTATTGATGTATAAAAGGCAAGCAAAAATCCAAGGATTTTTAATCATGCTTTGGGAGATACAAAAGTTCTGAATCATGAAAAAAAATCGAGTTTAAAAAAATTGCACTTATACTGAGTCTAGATAAACCCAGTAATTAAATATTTATATATGTTGCTAAATAACAAACAGCATACATAAATGTTTATGTATGTTGCTAAATAACTTCAGTCCTTGGCCATTTCAAGGACTGAAGCTTGTCTTACCACAAAATGATGCATTCATATTCCTAACCTTGTTATATATATTGGGAATTCATGAGAACTCTTATTTGGTATATGGACACCATAATGAATTTAGTACATATTTTTTTCCTCTTCCTATTCCAAAGATATTATAAAAGAGGCAACAATAAAATTCTTACATCTTGGAAACACTGTCACTTTACAAATGAATAAAACTTTTAATTTTCTTTTATTGACTCGCTGTAAGTTCTTATATTTAAGGCAAAAGAAAGTAAAGATAATGAACTCTATATATTCTGTAAACAAATTGACAAAATTTAAATATTATGCTTATATTCAAAAGATAATCTTTGGGGCATACATCTCTAGATTTTAAGATGCAGTATTTTCTCTCAACATGCTAGAAATAGTGTACTGTCTTCTGTCTTCTATTAATGCTGTTGAAAAGTGAGAGCTCTAATTCTTGGCAGGAGTATGTAAGTTTAATAGAAGATTTGAATCTGATGGTTGAAGAATGGAGTGTTTGGAATCAAGGTTTCCATTGTGGTACCAAGTTTGATAACGATAATGTCCAGAGTGTATGTAATTTTGAGAATGGATGACTGCAGGGGAATGGATGAATAGATCCTCATTTCAATGTTCCAAAAGATATATTTTTACCCACGTAGTGAATGAAATATGGTGGTCTTACAGATCCTAAAATTTTGAAAACAATTTTTCCTTGTACACTGAGAAGATCTAACCCACCACATATCGTGTTCAGTATGATTGAAACCCTTCTGGTTCAATATCAACTAATGTTTTTAATTAGCTTTATTGTAAACTGAAGCCAACTAATCATAGATTCTTGACTGGTGACTGACTTGATATTTTATTGCCCGCTAAGTTTTGGTGTGTAAGTGTGGCATAGGCATTCACTGCTGAGCAATGGAAATGCAATTCTGCCCTGATTGCTTGAAAGTGTGATGTGAGTGCTGGCTTTGCTAATAAGTATCAAATGTTACCATAATATCTAATCCTATACTCTTTTTTTTGAATCTTTTAAAAAAATTCTTGGTTACATTACCTTGATACTTTCCCCTCCACCCTAAATACAGTTTCTTCACAGGCTCTCTGCCTTCCTTCTAATAATACATGGTTTCAGGAAAGTGTGTTATTGACTCATTGACACTAAAGTATGTATGGTATTTGAATTTTAACAGATTTTAAGCCCAATGAGTGAACCTTTCTGACATGTAAGAAATAACATTCAGTAAGGCCTTTTGAAACTTCCAAAATAACATATCAGTTTGTGACTTACTGTATAAGTAGGTAAAGTTGACTAAAAGTGCTCAGAAGAAATTCAGAAATATATTTGTTCAAAGTGTATATTAGGATTGTATACTTATACTTTCATTTGTATTTGTAGACACATACACTTTGTAAAACTTTAGAAGAAGAGAAGAATCAATAGATAGTAAATTAGCCACAGTAGCTGTTGTGGCTTTCAAATCATAAAGTAGTAGCTACTTTATAATTTGGAGTTAGATGTATAATTGTTTTTTAATTTAACAAAGATTATATGTCTCAGAAGCTACTGGAAAAAAGATGTCAAAATACAATTCCTGGAAATATAGATACACTAATGGATTTTGATAAAGAAATTTTTGATCAAATGAATAATTAAAATGCTATCTTGATTAATGATTTTGTTAATTGGGCTACACCTGATATGCATTTGCTTAAAATTTAACTATTTTTTTTCTTTTTTCTTCTCAGTGTTAAAGAACCCAGTATGTAAATTATATAGATTTCCCACATCTGACAATAAGTGGATGCGAATTCGAGAGCAGATGTCAGAGAGCATTCTTTCTTTTCATATTCCTAAGGAATTGATTTCCCTTCACATTAAAGAAGATTTGTGCAGGTAAGAGAAAATAACTATTATTTTAATTGACAAACTATATATACTCTGCAACATGTTTTGAAATATGTATGCATTGTGGAATAGCTAAATTGAGCCAGTTAACATTTGCATTACCTCACATATTATCAGTTATTTTTGTCTCTAGAACATTTTTCTAAAGGCATAATGATAACATAAAAATCTAGACCTGAACTCTCCACTGTGGTGACCACTAGTCCCATGTAACTATTGATATGACTAGTCCAAATTGAAATGTTCTATCAGTGTAAGATACACACCAGATCTTTAATTCTTAGCACACATTTGCAGATTATTTAATAACAAAGTGTTAACTTGGATATATTGGGGTTATATAAAATATATTATTAAAGTTAACCTCACCTGTTTTCTGTTTTAAACTTTTAAAATATGGCTACTAGAAAAGGAATCATTATGTTTGTGACTTTGATTTGTGGTTTGAGCTGTTTCCGTGGGTACCTTGGTATCTAGCCAGTAATTTGAGCTTTGATCTTGTAATAATTCTTGTGTCTTTTACTCAATTGCTTATGGTTGCTGTTTCTGGAAGGAATTTCTATTTGACTCTCCTTTGGGCTTCTAATTTGTAGCAAGGCTTTCAGAAACTTATTAGTCCCAAAACTATTGGAGATGACTGAATAATATATACTATGCTAATGAACAGTATTGTACAACAAGATTAAATCAGTTGCTATAATAAGGTAGAAGGATTTGAGAGCTGATTGTTGATAAGAGTACTCTGGACCATGACTAATCAATGTGTTCCTCTGCCTTTTAAACACACCTGTAATAACATTAAAAATGCTAAATGCTACATTTTATAAAATACTGTTAAGTTTCTAAATCTCATTAAATTAGCAACTTTTAAAAAGTTAACACTTTATAATTGCTGAAACCTATAGCAGAGTGTGAAATTTATAGCAGTTAGGTTTCTGCCTTATTCTTACATTAATGTACATAGTTATTTAATAGTATTATACTCTTTGATAGACTTTGAAGTCCCCAGGGATTCTATTTTGACCTAAGCCCATGAGGACACCTAGTACTACCTAGTAGTACTAGGCAATAGATGACAAAACAAATTACCTGGAAGGATAAAGCAAGCTTATGTATTACAGTAGAACCACAGGAATTTGGATTTGGGAAGTCATATAAGAGTCATCGTCCTCAACATGGTTGTGTTCTAGATCACTGGACACTAAGAACCACTCCCAGTAGAGCCATGTAATGATCACCATTTCATCTGGAAGGGTTGAAGACAGTGGCTAATTTTATGTAGAAAAAGGAAAGACTCTCAGTAGACAAGCATGAGATGCCAGGTAGGACCTAAGAAACACTGAAGAGGAGTTGCCAGATGAAACAGACTTAAGAATTTAGGACTAGGGCTTACCCTAGCTCCAGAATAGCTGCACTCAACGTAGCCAATACTAAATTTATGATTACAGTTACCAGTAATTTATTGCAAATACTTGTAAGAGAAGAATTTCGATGTTCACCACACAAAAGATAAATTTTTGAAGTGATGAATATCTTAGTTACCCTGACTTACACATATGCAGGTATCCAAATATCACAAGTACTCCCAAAATATATACAACTATGATATATCAGTAAAAATAATATAAATGAAATAAAATATCTATGAAGACATACACAATACAAAATAATGACGTCATAAAACACTAAAATTCATTAACATGTATTATTATACTATATGTAGTATTTGACATCATAACTAATTTTAGCCTAATATTTTTGGGTTGAAAATATTAGTTGATGGAACATTAACACCATTTTATTTAAAAATTCAACAAGCTAGGAAAAGAGAGAGTAAAGATAAAGACCTGTCTTGTGCCCTCCTCTGTCTTCTGTCTTTAGTCTAGAAACTAATGAGCAGCTGTCTTTCTACTGCTTGTCTGCTACTTCTGAGTCCTCCACAGTGCTGTCTTCAAAGCCCACCTCTATTCTCACTAATAGCCCTCTGTCTTCATTCATTGATAGCAAATCCATGGGAGAAAGATGAGTAGTGAATTAGGAGAAAGACACTAATAAGCTATTGAATTTTGGTAGGCATAGCACCGTAATTACTGTCGTTATTTTAACACATCCAAGTATTATCCACGTACCCCATTCTCTTTATGCCTTTCTCTGTATCTCTTTTTGTTATTTCCATATGCTTCACAGCATAATATTTGCTAACACATGGAAGGGGCTGGTGGGCAGTTTTGGGAAAGACAAATAGGTGGTGCCTCCCAATATGAAGTGCCATTGCCAGAGATAAAATTAGAAACTGGAATTGTTCAAAGAAGAAAATTACATTTTAATTCTACAAAAACAAATGATATAAAAAAAAAAACCGATAGATTCCAAAAATTCACCAGGAACTGTGATGACCAGGCTGTATACCTTTGGCTTTCTCCAATACATTTTCTGTATAAATATCCCATCATTAGAATTTATTTAAATATTCAACAATGAATATTTAAAATTTTATAACAAAAAGGAGAGTTTTAAAATTCATCTTGAAGGCTGAAAACGGTAAAAGGAAAAGCTTGTAGAAAAAGTGGCAGCTGTCTCAGTAGAGTGTAAGAAGATACAATTATTGTGAAACAGAATGAGAAATCTGTACAAAGAGAACCATCTTAAGAAAAAAGGTCATGAAGAAAAGCGTAATGGACTAAATAATGAAATTTTAAAATGCAGTGGCCAAATAAAATGCACAGAGCCAGGAGAAAAGATTTAACACTAAGAAATCATGTCTGTAATGTGGAAGACAAACATAATACACTCTTCAAAAATGCTAAAGAAAGGTGAAAAAAAGTTCAAATGGATGAGAAAAAGATGTTATATATGTCCAGACAAAGGGCTGGACATTACTAAATAATTGTAAGTGTTCTTGAGGAAGAAGAGTTAGTGCAAAACCTTGAAAGAAAGCATTGGGAAGATTACTGAGTCTACAGTTTTGTTTCCTCTTTCACATGGTAAAATCAGGCGAGCATTATACTTCCCTGTAGAACCCAATGGAACAGTATCTACTGATTTCTGAGAGAAAAGGCTGTGACTTTACATTATTATATAGGGTTAGGTTATAATTTTTTTGTGGATGACGTCAGACCTACTTGCATATGCAAGAGCTCAGAAACTGTCATGCACAAAATGTTCTTGAAAATCCTACTTGAAGATATATGCTATCTGACTGAGAAAATAGTTTAAGAATTATAATTTTAATACAATAAGAATTTAATACAATATAAAAATTAAATTATGATATAAAATTAATATACCATAATATGAAAATTAAATCAGGCAGGTTAAGAATGGGAAATTGTTCTGCAAAAGAACTTGAAAGCATTTTTCTTGGTTGGTGTAATCTCCAGCGCAAAACTTTACTCTGAAGTTTTTTTCTCAGTTCCTCTTTCACTAACTTTACTCAGATCCCAGAAAGTGTTTTATTTGTACCAACTTCCCTCCCAATCACACAAATTAGATAGATTCTTGCCTTGTGTAATGAAAATGACAGGTGCCTTATATTTCACTACTTGCAAAGAGTGCAAATCATTCATTTACATGCTTGGATATCCAAACTGAAAGAATCATTAAGCAAAAATTTTGCTAGTTTTTTTTTCTTTATAAAAACAAAAGTATTGACTGAGAAACTTTATATTATGGTCATTTGCATTGCTATGGAAACTAAATATTTTCTGAAATTTTAACATAAATATTAACTAAATTGTGACATTTTTTGGTGAAGAGCAATAAACCAATGAGTAGCAGATACAAATTGTGTCGAAGTCCCTTTCATATATTCATATATTGTTCTGCATAGGACCTGTGGGAATACACACACACACACGCGTGCACGCATGCACACACACACACACGCATGCATGCACACCTGTGAGATATTGTGTGTTCAGTTATGGAATATCTTCATCAATGATTATCACTGTCATCATGGATCTTAACGTCACTAAGAAGCCATTGCAGGGTAACAGATTGGTGTAAATTTTCTAGCACTGATCTTAGCTAGATCTTCTGAATAACTTGCTGCAGATCCTCCATCATCACTTGCTGCTTCACCTTGTACTTTTACGTTAAGAAGACGGCTTCTTTCCTTAAATTTTACGAACCAATGTCCATCAGCTTCAACTTTTCTTGTTTGGTTTCCTCACCTCTCTCAGCCTTTATAAAACTGAAGAGTTAGGACTTTTCTCTGGATGACAATTTGGCTTAAGGGAATGTTGTGGCTCGTTTGATCTTCTATCCAGAAACCTCAAACTTTCTTTACATCAGCAGTAAGGCTGTTTTGCTTTCTTATTATTTGTGGGTTCACTGGAGTGGCAATTTTAATTTCCTTCAAAAACTTTTTATTTGCACCCACAGCTTGGCTGTTTGGCACATGAGGCCTAACTTTTAGCCTTCCTTGTCTCTTGACATGGTTTCCTCACTAAGCTTAATCATTTCTAGCTTTTGATTTAAAGTGAGAGACATGTAACTCTTTTTTTTTTTTGAACACTAGGAGGCCATTGTAGGATTATAGATTGGCCTAACTTTTATATTTTTGTGCTTCATGGAATAGCGGAAGGAAAAGAGGAAGAGAGATGATGGAATGTCTGATCAGTTGGAGCAGTCTGAACACACAAAATATTTATTGATTAAGTTCACCATCTTTTGGGTATGGTTCATGGCACCCCAAAACAATTACAATAGTAATATCAAAGATCACTGACAGACATAAGAATGAAAACATTGGAAACATTGCAACAATTCCAAAATGTGAGACAGAGACAGAAAGTAAGCATGTGCTATTGGAAAAATGGAGCCGGTAGAGCTTCATGAAGGATTGCCACAAATCTTCAATTTGTAAAAAACAAACAAAAACTGCAGTATTTGTGAAGAGCAATAAAGCTAAGCCTAGTCATACACAGTAAATATATATGTGTAAAATATATGATTTTAACTAAAAATTAATACAGTGTAACTCA